AGAGATGGGGGTGATTGATGGGGACATTGCATGGCAGCAGCTGGTGTAGGTGGGGGAAAATGAGGGTGATTGTGACCTTGCTGCTTGGAACTGAGAAAAGTGTTTCCTCTTCCTGTTATGGACTTCGTGTGAACTAGGTGGTTCTGTCATCCTTTCTGTAGGCTGGAAACAAAATCTAAGCAGTGTCTTGTTTAAATACAGCAGGGTTGGTTAAAATGCCACTGTTGGGTGGCATCTGTCTTGAGTATCCTGGCAGGGTCTGCAGGGGCAGGAAATCGTGTGTAAATACTTTATCCTCTGTGTATTGGAGTGAGTGACCCCTAAACATGTCACTAAGGGAAAGTAACCTTTAATGGAGAGTTAAAAAGGACTGAAGGCTTTTCTGAGAGACAGATGTATTAGCTGAGATTGCAGCTGAATTAATGCAGCTACATGGCTTGTGGCGTCTTTGAGGATGGGCAGAACAAATTTGTATTTTCCTGGAAAAGACTAGTGGTATATTTAATTTCATGCCACTTTTGGCATGCTGAGAGCCATATTGTTTCCTCCTCTTCCCCTGGAGGAAAAGGTTAAGCATGAATTTGGTTTTCTTTGGTGTAGAGACTGCTATTGTTATTGATTGACCCAGCTGAACTTGGAGCAAGAGCCAAAGCTGTGGTATTTCCAGGCAGCTGTGAACAGTTTCAGATGTAAGGAGTGTCAAAGCAATGAAATAAAAAGCAGTGACATTTTCAATATGAAATCAAAACAGCCCAACTCATATTTTATTTATTTATCCAAAATAGTTTGAATTATTCATTGAAGTCAATACAAGTGTGTGAAAATACAAGGTGTTTCAAGAAGCAGCATCATTAGGGGGAAGTTAATAATTTGGCAGTATTAATTTTGTTACAGATTAATGATTTTTTTTTCAGTGAGGATATTTTTTCCACATCAAACTCTTCAGGACAGGCAACTTTTTGTACATACTCTTGAGCTGAATACAGAGGAGATGGGACAGTATTTCCATATATTTTCCTGTTCTGTTTGTTCACCTCTTAATTTTTTTTTCAGGCAGAGTAAAGATCCAGTCGTTATTCCTGACCAGGGCTTGGCCTGCCAAATCTCACACTTATTTTCTCAGTTCTTATTTCTTTCACTAACTTGGAGATGCTTTGGAATCCCTTCTCTGGGATTAAGGATATTTGTGGTGTGACTTTCCCCATCCATGGCCTCTGCAGCTTCTCTCACGTTTTTCATGCAAGTGTAACAAGGTCTAACACAGGAACTCAAGCGGGTTCTCTAAATACAGAGATTCTAGTTTTCAAATGCTGTCTTTTAAAGCATTCAATCTAATTCTCCAAATGTTGTGAAAGATCTGGAAGGATCAAGGCATTCAAGATTCTGTGGGTGGAGATAAAATGTGTGGAAACATTATTGCTGTCACCAGAACCCTGCTCTGCTGATGCACCTGACCCACCCCGAAAGGATCTCCCTGTGATCCGTGGCCTCTCTGGCTGTGCCTTAAGCACTGCTCTGAAACAGCTGAGTTGCACTCTGTGCAAGTGATGACTTTTAAATCAATTTTTCCTGACTGTGCTAGAAATTTGGCGGGAATTAGCGGTATTAGGTGAGGCTTAAGAATTAGCGCCGTCACAGCTTTGGGTTCAGATGCAGAGCAAACAATGAGCTGCCTCTTAGCTTAACATCTTCACTTGATGGGGGACATATTACAAAGATTAATTACTGTCCCCACGTCAGTGCACGTGCTGCTGTGCTGCTCTCTGGGTGCAGGGAATCTGCAGTGCCAGGTCTGTACACCGGCAGGTCCATGGTGCGGAGAGGCTACATAGTTACCCAGTGCCTAAAAAAAAGCATCCTGTGCCATTTTAGACACCTCAAAGTGTCTGAGACGTTGGCCTGGGGCTGGGTGGTATCATATGGAACCTGCAGGAAATCTGGGAATAGCCCTGAGCTGCATTGTTTCCTGGGGGTAAGCACTGCGGGAGGTAAGCACCAGCAGTTACTGTAGCTGAACTACCGAGGACTGCAGTTTAATTGGGCATAAAGGAAGAGTAATCTCTGTTTTACAGTCAGGGTTCAGTGGACCTTTCACTGGGGGCAGCTGCAGGCTCAAGCATTCCTTGTGGTGTCCCTGTTCCTGCTTGTTTTTTCTGCTCTGTCCCTAAGCTCAAGAAATGCTGTTGGGGAATTGCTAATGGAGCCACAGAGGGGATGACAAGGCTTTATCCCATCCCTGGCTGGTGTTGGCACGTTTGGCCGCATCTTTAGTAACAGTTCCCGAGTTCAGCACCTTGTGCCAGTGGCTGACACAGGGCTTCTCTAACAAGGAGATAAGTTTTTCATGCAGATGAATTCCTTCAGCCAGGACAGCTGATGCAGTGATGCACCAGCACTGCCGCAGGCTCTGGAAAGAGGGCCAGGAGGAACGGCAGGGAGGCAGCAAAGGGCACCCTGTCGGGAGTGAAGGCTCCCTGGTCCTTCAGTTACGTTGGAAAGCTGTGGATTTATTGCATGAAGGACTGATTGTAGTCAAAGTTTTTCCTTTTTCACCCTGAGGGTAGTGGAGGGAAGGAGTTGCCATCACTTAGTTGCTATTGCAGGATCAGACAGTTGTTTAACTAGGCCAGTGTCGTTGGGTGGGTGATGAGGCTGCAGCCAACAGGTGAGGATGCTCCTGGTGGCCATTGGCAGCACCAGGTCTGAGAGACAAAACAGTGGAGAAGGCACTAACTCTTCATGAATAACGAAAGCTGCTCAAGGAGTTAATGAATTAGGGTGCCATCCACCTCCAAGGTTATAAAAGTTGGGAAAGGCAACCTCTGAGATGCGGTAAAAAGAGGCAGATTTACTTTTCCAAGGCTAGGCAGCATTTATTAGGAAAAAAAATATCGCTGTTGGACACAGACAATATATTAAAGGCAGTGCTGTCTCTGACAGTGACGAAATGTTATTTACCACTGCAGTGTGGTCACTGAATTTTTACTTTCATATATAGGATTTTGTCCTTAACAGTTGCATAGCTGACTGAAAACTGTGATAATATCGAGGTCGGAGCTGCCCATTAACCTCCCAATTTCAGAGGCTGATTACTTGATTAATCAAAGACCAGACCCAGCTGAGATGATGGGGAAAGGGTTGTAACAATCCAAAGAAGGGCTGAGTTAATCAAACAGGGATGCGTTGCTGTGAGTGGGAAGGTGGTGGTCAGGAAAGACAGAGCCTTTTTGACCTCATGAGAAGGGGCTGTATGTAAGCCACGACTCCTTGGGCTTGGAAGGGGGGTTTGGGTACTCTACTGACCTTACATCCCCCTGCGACTGGGGGGTTCCATCTATGGCAGTGCTTTGATGAACAGACTGGTGATGTTCCCCACAACTGGCTTGCTCCCCTTAATAAAGCAAGATGCAGCTGGGGGGAGGCCTGGAGTCAAAGAAATAGTTTGCTTGTACGTCACATCCACGAGCTGCTCGGGAAGGTGGAGCTGGATTAGCTGAAGGTGAGGAGCTGACCAGCGATAACCCTCCCCGCGTGGATGCTCTCACTCAGAACTAAAGGGACATGTAGTTCTCTTTAACCATTAAAGAGTTCCTGTCCTTGCTGGGGGATTAAGCTGAATTGGATTAAGGCCAAAGTACTTCTGAGCAGGGGCATCCTCAGTGGCATTTAAAGGCACTTTAACTTAACACACTGAATTATCCTTTTGTCCCACCCAGAGCGCTGAACTAAAGCAGTTCAGGAGATATGAGGAGACTCGTTCTCCTGACGTGCCTGCAGCTGCTCAGAGGTGAATCACTGGCAAGTCCATGGCCTTAAAGTTTCCATCCTGCATCTTCCCTGCACTAAGCTTGGGAGACCAATGGAAACACTTTCCTGCAAATACTCAGAAAAACTTCCAGCTCGCTTGGGAAACAGTGTTTTAGCATGGGCTGTATAAAGACCAGCCAGAAACCTTCCTCATATTTTGGCAGTCACCTTGCACTGAAGTCCCTGCTGTCCTACTGCTGGACCTGAACTAGCTGAACTAAAGACATATGGGCTCCAAATGCTGCAATTATGTCTCTGATCACAGCACAGACAAAGCCTTAAAGCTCAGAATGACAAAGAGATATTCGAGTCAGGAAGTCTATTTGTTTCCTGTTAGAAAGTGTTGGGATTTTTTCTAACCCTGGACTGCAGTGTTGATAAAACAGGCTGACTTGGGAGACATCTCTAGTGTATATTAAAGTAAAGCCAATCTCTGTAATTAATGGGATGATAAATCGAGGTTTAATTACTCGGAAGGCACCTTGGGTGAAAGATTCATGGTAATTGTTGTGTATCCTCTTGAAGGATTCACAGTACTGGCAGCTCCCTTTGTAGCAATAAAACACAGGGTGAGTGGCAGGCAGTCTCCCAGGACCTCTCTGCTAGGGACTAGTCCAGTTAAGGCAGCAAATGCAAAGAGGCACTGGTGCTCTCCAGGCTTTTTATCACAATAAAAGCCCCTTCCTGAACCTTGAGGGATTCCTAAGCAGTGTGTCAGTTTGAGATCAAAGCACTTACCTTCAAATCAGGAGTCCATTGGAGGAGATTTCCCTTACAGGCAGCTTCCTCCTGCTGCAGCCGTACGGAGGCGCATTTCCTACCATTTTTCCACTTCTATTGCTTCCCGTAGAGTAACACCCTTCTCTTGGGTTCTGTACAGAATATATGTGCATGGGGGGAAATGGATGCTATAACTTTGAATTTTGTAGTGTTGTTAAAAGATTGGTCTGAGCAAAAGAAAATTGCATCCCACCAAGACATGGCTGTTTTCCTTGTTCTCCACTTTACTGTCTCTTGGTCTGCTGGGGCCAGGAGGAGAGGAATCTAGCTTGCTTGCTTCTTTACTCTGCCTGCTTAATTCACTTTTTAATTAACCTTTTCAATTCACTTAGTTTGGCTAGCGCTGTAAATACAGCACAAGGGCTCTGTGCCGATGACACATAAGAAAGTACATGTTTTCTTCCCCTCCACAGAGCTGAAGAAGCAAGTGGAGAGTGCAGAGCTGAAAAACCAGCGTCTGAAAGAAGTTTTCCAGACCAAGATCCAGGAGTTCCGCAAGGTGTGCTACACCCTAACGGGGTACCAGATCGACATCACCACGGAGAACCAGTACCGGCTCAGCTCCATCTACGCCGAGCACCAAGGGGACTGCCTGCTTTTTAAGGTAGGTCTGTGCACCCCTCGCTGCACCTGCTTCTTTGAGTTCATGATTTTCAAGGTGCCAGTGTGTATTTGCTCTTTCTCGGTGGTTAGACTGGGGAGATCACTGCCCCGTGGTATGTGCAGATGGTTTGTTAGGAGAGAAGCAAGGCTCCTTTCTCCTGTTAAAAAATGGAAGGTTTGACATCTGGTCTCCCACTTATATATCAAAGTCTGGAGTAAAGAGAAGAGACTATATATGCATAATACCTAAGGCATCTGGCCTTGCACTTCACCTTTTTATAGTACCAGTTATATGCCACAGTAATAAAACCATATGTAACCATCAAGGTTTCTTCCTTACTTCACTATAAGATATATGTCCCTACATTTTTTTGCTATCCTCTAACTTGTCTGCCTGTCATCATCTTGTCGTTATGTAAATTGGAATCCCTTTTGAGCAGCAACTCATCCTGGTGTGTGTGAAGTGCCATTTATGGGAACAGCACAGATGAGCAGCAATAACAGTCTGTCTTCTGTCGGTCGGGTTCTGTTATTGGTCTGGCTGGGTGGGCTGCTGTTGGGTTGTGGCTTGATATAGGTGCTGTTCTTCTTCTGTGTTACCTTCCAGCATCACATCTGGGCTGATGTGTTAGAGAGCTGAGGTGTGACGTTAGAGGCACGAAGCTGATAAGTGCCATCTTTGCATTGGTTCAAGTGTCAACAGCCCAAGTTTGCAGGTCAGCAGGAGAACTTGCTTCTCAGTGGCAAACACAACTGGCATGGCAAACACAACTGCACTCAAAATCATGCCTGCCTCCCAATGATACCCCTAGGGCAAGTCTCCTTTAAGAGAGGGAAGAAAGGGTTTTGGAGATGTTCAGTACAAGAGGGAACTCTACAAGCAGGAAAGGGGAAAGTTGTGTTTCTAGGCTATGTACCACGTGTGGATTGCTGCAGGATTGTTTCTGTAGGTAACAGGACTAATGCTTTCCTGTTCTGCAACTTCAGAGCCTCAGGAAAAAAAAAACAAAACAAAAAACACAAACCAACAAATAAAGCAAGTGAGGGTATGCAATAAGACAACACCCAGGATCCTTGGTAAAACTAGGAAAATATCCCCGAAACAGTTTTATTGCCTGGCCTTATGAGGCTTCTGGACTAATTGAGGCAAACGGCAGCAACAAAAGAAAGCTCAGTGCCCAGGGAGGAGGATAATGCTGTTGGTTTTAAGGTGCTGCCCTTGAATCCTGAAAACAGTTCTCTGTTGAGATGGTGCAATGCTGCTTTAACACCTCCAGAGACCTGTGCTCATTCCTGTGGTGTTAAATGCTTAGTGCATGAAACCAAACTCCTGGAGATGTCTGTTAGATGCCATGGCCAGACAGTACAAGTTGCAGGTCTTTGTGTGTGGTAGGAGAGATGGCATGCTTGGAGAAAGTTAAGAAAATGTGATAAAATTGTCTACTGGCCACAAGAACAAGAACTGGCTGGCAACTCAGGACCTTGTCTCCAGTAGGACCAAACTCCCCTTCGTGGCATAGCAATGTAAATAATTTATATGCAGGAGAGTGGATAATGAAGTACAAATTCCTATCTCTAAAGTGTCCTGTTGCTTTCTCTTCTTCACTGGAGTCTTTATTCCCAAGGATGAAGGTGAGTATCACTAGGCAGAGCAGATCTCACATTTCCCAGAGCCAAGGGTGGGTTGTTTATTGATTCTTGGAATTCTCGTCCTCTCTTACCTCCTCGGACAGGAGCAGCAGATTTGCTAATTAGAACCTGAACAAGAAAATCTCAGACTCTTTCTCCCTGTTCAGTAAATCGCAGACAATTCCCACAGTCTGCAGCTTTGACTAGTAGTAGAATATAAACAACAAATTATTTCCTTGCTGGGTCCAGGCAGCTGGTTCTCATGTATGTATCAAGACTTGAATCCTGACTATGGCTTCCAGCGGAGTTGTGTGTTTATGCTGTGGAATTTCTGAGCCACAACAGACTGTGGGTGTTTGTGTGCATTTCATTAACCCAAAGAGGTCACAAAGCAGGGAGTGCTATTTGTATTTATTCCATTCAAGCAGTTTATGGAACAGGGTCTATATAATTAAACCAGAGAAGTCCCCTGGCACTTTACAAGCCTCTGTAGCTCGCCTGTAAACTTTAGAGCATATTTCAGTAGCACTGTTGGTGGCATTTAATTTTAAGTGAGGCTTCAGTAGCAGGGATGCAGTAGGAGCCACTGTAATGCAACCCCTTCAAAGCAAAATGAAGATGAAAGATATGCTTGGTTTTCCTGACCAAGGTGTGCTGTTACTGTAGTGGAGCTTATTATCTACCTGTTGTATGTGTCCAGCCAGTTTGCATTAATTGGGATTACAGCTCTCGTGAAAGGGTTAATCACTGCGCCGTGCTGTGAATGCCAATGACTGCCTCTATAAATGAGCACTGAATTCCAATGAAACCCCATCAGTATTTATTGGCCACCCCTATCGATGCAACAGATGAGCTCATCAGCTTGAAGGATGTTCCAGTGATTTTCAGACCCTCTGTGAGTGTGTGGGCAGCAAGGCGCATCTCAGGCTTCACAGCTCGCTCCCGCTTCTTTGCTCTTTTTTATTCTTTTAATTAAATGCTGTGGAAAGCAGTGTTACAGATTCCTCACCAGGAGTTTAGTTTCTGATGATTTTTTTTTACGGGCTGTAATGCATTATAGTTACTGGGGCTCTTGACAGTTTTGTATTCCGTTGGTGTTGCTGGTACATTGGATGTGTCCGGCTGTGACACAGACTTTGTGTTCTGCGTGATGCTTGACTGGTGTGTCTAGACCAACCCACCAGTCAGATATCCAGGGACTGCATCGACTCCCCTTGTAACAAGTCATTAAAGATATCTGTTAAAACAAACAAACATTGCCAGGAAGCCTCAGAATCAGCTTAGCCAGCTCGGAATGAGGAGGTGGCACATCAGGCTGTCATTGCTTGGCTCGGTGTACATCGTGCTGTTTACCCTTGTCTCTGGCTAGGTCCTGAATGGGAGTAAGGAAATGAGGTCTTTAGAAAGGCAATGACAATTGTTTCAGACAAAGAAAGTCCTTCAGTAAACAGAAAGACTGGTCAAATTTGAAGAGGAGATGATTTGGAGACACTTGTACAAATGAACAAACAGTGGAGAGAAATTAGATCACAGGCTTTTTCTTTTTGTGTGCCTAAAGACACAGTCCCAGCCAAAGCATATGAAGCCAATCAATTTAAAAGAAAAAGAGCAGAAATCCTTTTATTTGATAGACCCTATGGCTTCAAGGAACTTCTGAGAACAGGAGCCTTGTACATCTTCTAAAATGTTGAGATATCTTTGTGGACAAATAATAATACCTAGCTTTACATTAAATGTGTACATTTACCTTAAATAGGGACATTCAGAGCTCTCTGCTTGGAGGTGTAAAGGCATGTTCTTACTACAGAGGTTAGCCAATGCTTCCAATTTTTGGGGTTATATGTACATACGGTTTTGCTGCCGCTGTACCTGACAACATTTGACTCCATCCTCTGGAAATATTCGAAAATGAAGACTTGAATGAAGAAGAGAGAGCAAGAAGTGTGCTCATAGACAGCAATCTGTTCTTGATTATTCTCTGTGCTTCAGGTAAACTGTTCCCTGTGTTGTGGCATGAAAGTAGGGCCGGTCACTTTGAAAGGATCCTGGGCTGAAGAGGCAATTGATCTGATCCTGTGTAATGGCTACATCAAATTTGTCATTGTTTGCAATCTTTCTTGTCTGAGATGCTCCTGCTTACTCAGAAAGGAGTGCTCAGATTTCTTAGTAATTCATATATAAATTATTTGGGTCCAAATTGGTTGGTAAGGAAGTTAAACGAGTCAAACTTTCCAGTATCACAGCAGTGTTATGTGATGAGATCCTAAATAATCCACACCAAAAGCCTGCCTTTAGACAGATATTTTATGTATCCTCAGAGCCCAGCCTTGCCTAGTACAGAATTCTCTCTGCTTCCAGGTCTCACCCATGTTGTTATTTTCTGTCAAAATTATCAAATGAAAACCCAAACAACAGGAGTAGTTCATTGAAGAGCGTTCCCAGGTTGATAGACTGTATTCCTTGAAAGAGAATACCCAAGATAGCAGACAGCAAACAAAACCAGAAGCATCTTGACACAGCTTGAGAATGTGGCCAGTTGCAGGGCTGGCACTTCTTGCTGCAAAATAAAACTTTTACCGGTGTCCTGTTGGATTGGTGATACAGTCATAAAATCAAATAAAATCAACAACTTTTCTGCAACCTGATAAATTAACAGCTGGTGTGCACCCAGTCTTGGCACACCTCTTTAAGGAGTTAAATACAGAATTAGTTTGCAGATCTGTAAAGGCAACTGTCGCTATAAAACTTCAGGGCCACCTGAAAAATAAACACTTGTTTCTGATGTGGGTGCAAAGGCTGAACATAGGGGTGAAAAGAGATGAGCTATTCCCTTCCTTTGTATGAAAGAAGAGTATGGTGGAAGGACAGACACCACCTTTAACTTCCCAGTTCTCCTTTGCTTGCCCCATGGCTTGCATACCTCGCTGACCTCTTCTGTATTGACAAGGTGTGTAAAACACGACAGGGCATCAGTGAGCACAAGAGGTAGGAGTTTAATTCTCTTTTCTTGAGGAGAGAAATGAGGCTGGATTGAATGAGAAAGAAGTTGGAGGCTATTTTTCAAACACAAAGTGATGCTGACAAACTGCTGGCTGAAAGGGAGAGGCAGAACTTGTATGCTTAAACATGCAGAGAGAGTCTGGTCTCCTGAGATTCCAGCTCAGTCTGAGTATCAGTTTGGCCAGGGCGCACTGGTGAATGATGTACACCTCAGATTTAGCAGGATGGTTAATGCAGGGATTGCTTTCATTCTCCCAAGTGCTCTTGTTTCATCTTGAAGCTGACAGCACTGTTGGGAGCTGTGATTTTTGAGTCCGCGTGCTTGGCGTGTGTGCAGTTTCAGTTATTCCTTCTTGAAACCCAGCAGAGTAT